GAACCTGCCTTATTCCCAGCCTAGCCCAGGGCCATGGCCGGAGCCCCTGGAAGAGACCCAGGGTGGGGGCCATGCCACAGTCTGCTGCTTACTCTCCACAGAGGACTATTTCATGCCTCCGCCAAAGCGTAGCCTATGCTACTGTGAGTCTTGCCGAAAACTTCGAGGGGACGAGGCCCACAGGCGCCGTGGGGAGCCCCCCCGTGAATACGCTCTGCCCTTTGGCTGGTGCAGGTTCAACCTCAGGTACATAGAGGGAAGGATCGTGTGCCTCCCGCACTATTCTTTGCCCACCTTGAGAAAAGGTCCTGAGAGGGCGTGTAGAAGACAAAACTTCTTGTCTGGGGAATGACCTTGGGGAGCCAATGACCTTGTCCTATCTGTCTACATGCTAGGGTGAACCCCCGCCTGGAGGCTGGGACGCTAACCAAGAAGTGGCACATGGCCTACCATGGGAGCAATGTAGCGGCTGTCCGGAGGGTGCTGGACCGAGGGGAGCTAGGGGCAGGTACGAAGCGCCAGCAGAACCAGGGCAGGTGGGCCTGTGGGTGGTAGGAGGGCCACCCTGACCCTGCTCTCCTCCCTTGCAGGCACTGCTTCCATCCTGAGCTGCCGGCCCTTGAAGGGAGAGCCTGGGACAGGGTTTGAGGAGCCTGGAGAGAACTGCACACCCCCCCGGGAGGAGCAGCCCCCTCCAGTGCTGCTTTCCCCCTCCCTCCAATATGCTGGGGCTGAGACCCTGGCATCCAAAGTGCAGTGAGTACACGGGAGGGGGCCCAGGGCCACATGAGTCTCCATGATTCCCTCATGTCCACCTTGTCTTCCTGTTTCCTCAGTCTCCAGCCAGCCCTTCATTCACAGTCTTTGTACAAGTACCATTTATTTTGTTCTATCACAAAGAACAAAGAAGGGAACCCAGTTATTTAGTATTTTTAAAGGTGACAAGTACTATGGAAGCGAAAAGTAGAGCAGAGTGAAGTGGATCAAGAGTGTGGCTGGAGCATACAAGTAGATATCACTAAGAAGGTGAATCTGAGCAAAGACACGGGCAGGACGGAGTCAGTCGAGCAGGCATTGGGAGGAAGACCATTTCAGGTAGAGACAAGGCTGCAGCCAAGCCCCTATAAGGAAGGAATGACTAAGGAATAGCATACAGGAGGGCCTGTTGCTAATTGAGGTGGTTGCAGTTGCCAAGGGGCAGAGGTACTGGGGGCCAGAGGCCTCACTGCCCTATTTCTGCTTGTTACCTGACAGATTCCGGGACCCCAAATCCCAGCGGACGCACCAGGCCCAGGTGGCGTTCCAAGTGTGTGTGCGCCCTGGCTCTTACACCCCGGGACCCCCTTCCGCGGCCCTCAGAGAGCCTCCCGACCCTCACTTCAGTCCAGCCGAACTTGAGTGGGTGACCAAGGAGAAGGGGGCCACGCTTCTCTATGCCCTGCTGGTACGGGTGGAGTGAGGGGCGAGGCCGCACCACTACAAGCACAGTTGGGCCAGGGCCCGTGGACTCGGAATGATGACTGCCTCCAGGTCATTCCAGCGCCCCGCGACATGCACGGTGCTCAGCCTGGCAGATGCACAGAAGCGTGTGGGCAGGCTCTCAGACTAGCTGGGAAGCGGAGCTTGTTTCCGTGCCCCAGCGGAAGGGGACGTCCCTCCCTCCGAGGTGAGGGTGCAGCGGGAAGCCCGGCCGCAGACCCCGGGAAACCCTGTCCATGCACTGATCTGGGGAGCCTGACTCCCCGCGACTCCTCCCCCATAAACTTAATTTATTTCCGTTTCTGTTCCCTGGTTACTGTGAATCCCAGAGGCGTCTCCCCGTGCCCCAGTGAAGCTGCTTTTCCGGCCCGGGCGCGAGTAGGGAAGGCGGGGGCCGGGGCTCGGGCCTCTGTACAGTTGTTACTGACTCTGATTTCTAAGGAGCCAATAAACGCAGTCTAAGAACACTCGCCTCGGCCCCTCTTTTCGCGTGCCTCTCGCCCACGGGAGGCGCTCCGGCCCCGCCAACTTTGGGGGCTCCGCCCGCTGGGCAGACCGGGTCGGGGAGTCCCGCGGGGCACAGAGGAGGGGTTTGGACGCCATGGGCACCCGTCGTCCGCACTTCCGTCTGCGCCGCTCCGCCCAACCAGCGAGGCCACGGCGGCCCGACTCCGGAAGGATTCGGCCCAGCGGCCGGATGTGACGCCGCGGTCCTGCAGCTCCAGAGGCCGCGGAGAAAGCGACGAGAAGGCGGGTAGGGTGGGGCGGGCGCCCGGGTGGCTGGCAGAGGCGGGAGCGCGGAGGCCAAGACCCAGGCTCGCGCACGCGGAAGAGCCGCGCGGACGGCCGGGCGGCGGGCACGTGACCGGGGCGGCGGGCGGTGGCTTCCGCCTGAACCCGGCGCGCTCCCACTGAGCTGCCGCCTCCCCGCAGGCCCGGCCAGAGGTCTGGCAGCCAGCGACAGAGCCGGGCGCCCAAGGCCCGACCGTCCCCAGCAGCACCATGCCTGCGCTTCTGGAGCGTCCGAAGCTGTCCAACGCCATGGCCAGGGCGTTGCACCGACACATCATGATGGAGCGGGAGCGCAAGCGGCAGGGTGAGCCGGGCCCAAAGCGGGAGGACGCACGGTTCGGGGCGTTCCGCGCTCCACGGTGACCCCCACCCACGGGCAGACCAGTGAACGGCGGCCGAAGCCAGAGGGACAGCCAACCCGGTGGTGATGGTGGTGGGAGTTAAAAGGCCACGTCTGGAGCTGGGAAGGACCTTGGAGAGCACCTAATAAACCTCCCCGTTCCAGCCCTCTCACAGTGATGAAGCCTGTTCCAGAGCACTGGGATAACCAGTTCTTGCTGGTCTTCAATTATTAATGTTCTGATATTTTAACACCCTGCCGCTTGTCCATTCTGCCTCTTATTCCAGAGGAGGAAGAAGTGGACAAGATGATGGAACAGAAGATGAAGGAAGAGCAGGAGAGAAGGAAGAAAAAGGAGATGGAAGAAAGAATGTCACTAGAGGAGACCAAGGAACAAGTAAGCAGTCCCTCCATCTCTCCCAGTTCGTTCTTCTCTTGGCTCTCCTGCTTTCATCTTCTCTCCCCTCCCCAGATCCTGAAGTTGCAGGAGAAGCTTTTAGCTCTACAGGAAGAGAAGCATCAGCTTTTCCTGCAGCTCAAGAAAGTTTTACATGAGGAAGAAAAACGGAGGCGAAAAGAGCAGAGGTGAGATTAAAGAGCTAAAAATAAAATCGAGGCTAAAGTGTAACAGGGATCAGGTAACAAAAGATCAGTGTTTAATGGCAAATGGGAAGGGGAGTGTGTGGGGTTGGGGACACGACAGACTTGTCTTTTACCCGCTTTCCTTTTGCTCCAGTGACCTGACCACTCTGACATCAGCAGCATACCAGCAAGGCCTGACCGTTCACACCGGAACTCACCTCCTCAGCATGCAGGGTGAGGGTTAAGAAACTTAATGGTCAGAATGGGCCCTCCTGGGGGTTGCAACATCATGAAGCACCCCTCTCCCTCTCTAGGGAGCCCTGGAGGACACAATCGCCCAGGCACCCTCATGGCAGCTGACAGAGCCAAACAGATGTTTGGACCCCAAGTGCTTACGGTAAGAGGACTGGGTGTCTAGGCTGAATTTTTTTTCCTACTTCCACCCAGACCCTAGCATCTTCACTAGCCAGCATCCAAGTCTCGAGTGTGTCTACATCCTGAATAGGGGAAATGGGGGTGCAGTCACTTGAATTTCTGCTTCATGGAGTTTACAGGCAGTGAGTTCTCCTCTTTCCTTCTTAGACCCGGCACTACGTGGGCTCAGCAGCTGCTTTCGCAGGGACCCCAGAGCATGGGCAATTCCAAGGTAGCCCGGGTGGCGCCTATGGGACTGCTCAACCCCCACCTCACTATGGACCCACGCAGCCTGCCTACAGTCCTAGTCAGCAGCTCAGAGGTGAGGTGGGAAGAGGAATTTTCCTCAACACTCAAGGGAGGAGTGTTGAACAGGTTACAAGGAGGTTCTAATGGTCTCCTGCCTTCCTCAGCACCTTCCGCGTTTCCTGCAGTGCAGTACCTGTCTCAGCCACAGCCACAGCCCTATGCCGTGCACAGCCACTTTCAACCCACCCAGACAGGTGATGGGAACACGCCATGCTGGGGTCCAGTTCCACGAGTCCTACCTTCCTCCTTTCCCCATTCTCTACTCACTTCACACTCTTCCTTCCCCACCTAGGGTTTCTCCAGCCTGGTGGTGCCCTGTCCTTACAAAAGCAGATGGAACATGCTAACCAGCAGACTGGCTTCTCTGACTCAGTGAGTAGAGCCTTGCAAAGTCAAGGGCTGCCTATGCTAAGGGGAGCCTCAGGCTGCCTCAGTTGCTGACACTGTTCTCTGCAGTCCTCCCTGCGTCCCATGCATCCCCAAGCTCTGCATCCCGCCCCTGGACTCCTGGCCTCACCCCAGCTCCCTGTGCAGATGCAACCAGCAGGAAAGGTAAGGTTGGTAATCAAGTCCCTCAGAATCCCTGCATTGCAGGGAAACAGTATTGGGTAGGGTAGGTGACCCCCATCCCGTTTTCCCTTCCCGTCCCTGGGATGGCTCTCTGGTGTGGAGAGGAGGGCGTGCACACTGACAAAGCCCTCCTTTCATCACCGCTGCCAGTCGGGCTTTGCAACCACCAGCCAGCCTGGCCCTCGGCTCCCCTTCATCCAGCACAGCCAGAATCCAAGGTTCTACCACAAGTGACCATCACATTTATCTTCAGCCTCGGCCCCAACCCCTGCCCTTGGGGAGGATCCCTGGTGTCCCAGTACCAGGCCAATAAAATCTACCTGCCACTGCCCCCGGCTGCTGTTTGTGTTGCCTCCCACTGGACTGCTTGGAGGGTGGGCAGTGGCTGGCAGGAATCACAAGGTGACAGCAGGGTTGGTTGTAATGAACTGAGCAGCGGAGTTCATTCAACCTATACTCTTCAGATTTCCAAATAAATACCCATTTAATTTGAAAAAGCAGCTGAGTTGGGGACTTCATATTAAACTTGTAGTTTTATTCAGGTTCGATTTTAACAAATGTGTCGGGGAGAGAGCCCGCAGGAAAGGATGAAGCCCATGGGAGCAGGGCCCTCCCAGATGCCTGAGGAGGGGGCAGGTCCCCTCCACTCTCCTCCTCTTCCCTCCCCATCTAAAGGGATCTGGGGAGAGATATAGGCAGGGGAGGGGGCTGGTCCCCAGTCTGTGGGGGTGGTGCTTGGGATAGAGGGCTATGGAGGAAATAAGGGGTCAGATCAGGTGAGAGTTGGGGAAGGGCATAAGGACCATTTGCCAGAATCCACAGCTTTCTGATTCCAGATTGAATTTAAAAAAAAAAAAAACAAACAAAAAGAAACACTAAACCACAAGCAGCACCCACCCCGTCTCCCCCACCAGGGTTGTAGTGCGAGGGGAGAAGAGGAGGGCAGCTTCACCAAGGCCATGGTGCACTCACTCCTGGCCAAGGGAGCAGGGTGAAGGGCAGGGGCTCCCCGACAGATTGAAGGGGTAGGGGAAACCAAAATAAAACGTCAAATAAATCGTATAGGAGGAGTCCAGCCAAGAGCCAGGCCAGAGCTGGGCCACGCTGGGGGAGGGGGCCTCTGCAGGCTGGAGGATCACTGCTGCCACCACAGCCACCCTGGGTAGGAGAGAGAAACCAGGTAAGACAGGGTAAACCTTCACAGGGAAAAAGGGTGAGGGGGCAGAACCATGCTAGGGGGCAAAAAATAAGCCATTAAGACTAATCTAGCTCTTTAATGGAGATAGTGTGAAAGGGGGGAGTCACACTTACCTGGGAGCCAGTTATTTTGCCATGGCCTTGATTGCAACAGCCGCCTCCTCTGTCATAGCGGACAGCACCGTGATCTGGGAGAGCACGGGGAAAGGGAGTCATGTCTGAGTGCAAAGCAGGGGAAGAAGCACAAAGAACAAAGCTGGGTACAAAGTTGGGGGCACCATACCAGGATCTCTTCTCCACAGTCGTATTTCTGCTCAATCTCCTTGCCAAGGTCTCCCTCAGGCAGACGGAGGTCCTCTCGCACCTCCCCGCTGTCTTGGAGCAGTGATAGGTACCCATCCTGGATGCCAATCAGCTAGGGGAAGACAGAGAAGAAAGCTGAAGATGGGCCCAAGTAGCCTGAGGATGAAGGGTGTGATGGGCAAACTAGGGCGACAAACAGCTAACACCAAATACTCTCTCTTGCCCATCTCCCTTCTCTCAGCACAAGGTCTTTGGTCAGTCTCAACTTCCACTCCCCCCAGGCTACTAAACCATCTACAATCACATCACCTACATACCTGAAAATCATTCCTTTTGATGTTGGGGACATCCATATTATGAGTTGACGGGCAGATATCTTCGTATTTCTTCCCAGTGAAGATGTCAATACCAACCAGATGGACCTGTATGTATACATCACATCAAAGAGAAATCCATTTATACTCTAGGATGGAGGAGATCCTTGGCTGGTGGGGGGAAGTCACACTAGGTTGTCAGGACAAATAAGAGTTGGAATTGAACCAATCAACTCAAAAAGGAAAACACTAAAAGGCTCACTACTAAAGGGCTCTAAAAAGAGCCTGAAGTCAAAAGACTGCCACTGAAATTGCAGCTAACCACACAAGTAAGGTTGTAGGGCAGCCTTGGAGCAGTTACCTCAAACTATCAAAACATTAACAAGTGACCAAGATTCTAGGGGAGTAGGAGGAACCTAGGTAAAAGTTTACAAGAAGTTTTATTGACATCAATATAAAAGGCCAAGAACTTGAAAGGTAGGAAATAGAGTTCAGAAAACAGGAAGGAATAAGAGCTGAAAATAAAAGGAGTTGGGAGAGAGCAGAACTACACATAGAGGAAATAAGGAAACCGGAAAGAACAGAGAATGATCTAGACATTTGGGGGTAACCCATGATGAATGCCAAGTCAACAGAAGACAGAAAAAGTGATTAAGGAACAAAAGCAGAGGGAATTCAAAGATCAATCAGGTTGACGTTTTGGGGGGGGGGGGAGGTGGGGAGTCTGAAGTTACAAGGAAAGCTCTAAGGAAAAATGTTGACCAAGTAAGCAAGCAGGCTCCAAGAGGGGGCAGGTAGAGGCACTCTGACCTTGCATCAGAAATCTGATGGGAAAGCTGGAACTGGAGAGTGGAGCAGTGACGTACAGAGGTGCAGAGATGTGCACTGGTGCCCTGCCAGGGGAGGGGTGCGTTTTATGTTAGGATTGGTGAAAACACGGGCAAAGCAATGGAAACAGAGCACCTACGAAGGCTCAGAGACAAATACAAAAAGCGAAGGCCAGTAAGAAGAGTAACTGAACAGCTAGAGCATAGAGGACCACGAAGAAGAATTGGAGACACACAAAGATGGAGAAAGGAAGGGATTCCAAGGATGCTGGGGCACAGGAGGGAACCGAGGAGGAAGCTGAAGGCTGGTGCAATAGTTGGAAAAGGTGTCCAGAGCTGAGTACTGACCACCAGGAGCCAGATGGTAATAATACAAGAGCTAAGTAAGACAGGGGGTTAGCACTGATGACAGCAAGTGGAGAAGACAAGGTATAGAAATGAAATTCTAACCTTGGCATGGCCGTGCTTGCCAGTCTTGGAAGTTGACATCTCCACAATCTTACATGGCCGGCCTTTGAGCACCACGAAGCCATTCTTACGTAATGCTGAGCACTGCATCGGGAAGGTGGCTGAGGCCCCTGCATCTCCTGTCTCGAAGTCCAAATCATCTGCCATTTTAAGAGGCTACGATTCCAACTCCCGCGAACGCACTGACTCAACCCTGTCCGCTCGCTGCGAGCCCAACCGCTGCCTCCGCCTCTACCCTGAACTNCCCCCCGGCAGCACTTTATCCCTTTACACACGTGAAATAGCTTCTAGACTAAATGCTGATTAGATCAAAAATACCGAAAAACTGGTGTATGTGGCAGTGGAGATAAGCTGGATCCCCACCCCAAATGAAAGCTAAAAGGGTGGCTTGAAGTACAAAAAGCCCCAGAAATTTAGGATCCCAAATCTCTGATACGGGCAAAGGCCTAATTCTTGGTCGAGGGAGGACTCAGGTGTTACTTGCCACTGAAACCAACCACCCCTGCTCCCCACACATAACCAGGGCTATAATTAGGTGAGCAGTTATGAGCCAGCAAAAGGGCGGGGCTAATGTGGGGGGGGAAGGGGGGTGGAGACCGGAGGACTTGGAGCCCCACCCGTCTGTTACACCCCCCCCCACTCTATCCACACACGAACCCGTCATTGGTACAGGAAACCACAAGGCCGCTTTGGGGGATTCCCGCCTCTCCAACATGCATTTGCAGATGCAGCCGAGAGGGAGAAAGCAAAGTTGTTTTCTAACTGATCTCCCTGCCAAACACCTCTGGTTTCCCAAAGGGAACCCAGGAACCCAGCCTCTCCTCAAGGGCCCTCCCACTTTTCCCAGGATGCATCAGTCCTGTCGGCTTTTCAGGCCCGGCCTGTACAGTCAGTAGAAAGTGGGGGAGTGGGGAGTGGTGAATGACAATAAAATGAAAGCAAAATGCTGGTAGTAGTGAGTAGTATAAGTTATACTAGGCTAGCAGAGTTAAAGACCCTAAAACCAGGCACTCTCAGGTCAGACACCACGACAAAGACAGTGACAAGGTGAAGAGCACCTATCACAGCGGGTAACTCATCTGCCCGGGACATTAAGGCGCCGTCGGCACGTACGAGAAGAGTTGGGCTCCCGTCCAATCGCCCTCGGTTTCCCCATTTCTCTGGCCTCCCAGTACGGACGAGCCCCACTTACACCTGGCTGGCCGCCTCACTTCACAGGAGGGCTGGGGGGAAAGCTGCAAAGGTCCATGAGGTAGGGGGAGCCGTAACATATGCCCACAGCGGGCTCTCCGAGGTGATCCGGGTCCGGGCCTTCGGCCTCTCCCACTCCTCGAAATTCCAAGCTCCCTCAGGCGCCCGCGAAGACCAGCTCTCTCCGCACTGGGGGTTGCCGGCTCCCGCCCACCATGTGGCCGCCCGGGGCTTCCGGTGGCCGGGACCTGGGGGGAGGGGTCCCCGCGCTGCCATGCGGCCCCCGTCCACGTTCGGCCATGCGGCCTCCGACCCCGAGGGCAGCCTCCCGTGGGGGGCACTTCCGGTACTGCAGCCTGCCCCCTCCTCAAAGGCCGCGCCAGGCCGGAGCCACGCCGCCTCCCCTCCCCCCCCACTCCAGCCGCCAACCCCCCCCATGCCCTCTCACCGAACAGCCCCCTCCCCCACCTCACGTGGCCTCGCGGCTCCCGGTTCACAACGGCGCAGGTACCCTTGCCCCGGCGGGCCGATCTGGCCCCCGGCTCTCGCCCCGGCGTGGCCGCCCGGCGGCCTCTCCCGCGTGGCGGCCTCGCGGCTCGCCGTCCCCCGCCCTGCGTCGCTCCAACGTCACCCGACCAGCCCCAACCGTCACCTCGCGCGCCAACCGGGTCGCGCGCCCAAGTCTCTCCGCACCTCGCGCGGCTCGCAGACGGAACCCCGTGCTGCGGCGGCCGCCGCTCCCCTCTGCCCCCTCCCCGACCCTCGCGCAGTTCCATCTCTACTCCCAGGCCCAAGTCAAGGTTCCGCGCACGCGCGCCGTGCCCGCTCTCACCTCGCGCGAACGCACTGACTCAACCCCGTCCGCTCGCCGCGAGCCCAACCGCTGCCTCCGAGCCCACTGCCGCCGCCGCCGCCGCCGCCGCCTCTACCGCCGCCGCCGCTGCTGCACACGGGTCTTAGTACGCAGGCGCCGACTCCCCACTGACCAACCAAGCAGCCCTGTGACAGCCGCGCAAGCGTGGTATCTATCTCCTCCGCCCTCCACCCCCGCACTGCGCACGCGCACAGATACTCCCTTGCTCTCCACCCTCCCTCCCACCTACTCATCCAATGACGCGCATACGTGACCCCGCCCCTCACAAATCCTAAGTTCGTCCCACCAGTAGGCAACGCGCAGGCGCATCCGGTTTTTTAATCCCTTCAACCTCCTCTGCCCTCCCCGTGTTAGACCACCAGCCCTACCGGACAATCCTTGCGCCTGCGCAATAAAGAGTCCTACACTCCACACCCTCTGAAGGAAACGCCTCGGCCTCAAGGCGCATGCGTGTTGGGAATACTGAACGCCCCTTCCACCTCAGACGTCGTCTGTACGCCAAGCGTTGAAAAGACCACGCCACTGTATTGCTGATCTTGTCTAGAACGCATGCGTCTTAGGAAACGCCCCATCTCGACTTTAGCTGGACTTGGAAGACACACGTTTCAGAAAACTTGTACTGTGGGGTGGGCCCCTTGTCGCAAAACCCATCCCTCTCCCCCTGCTCCCCCGTTCCAGACATGCGCGAGAGAGCTCTTTCCGCTTCAGTCTTCCCCGCGCGCTAGTGTGGTCGAGTTACCACCCATCTCAGCTTCACTTCTCTAAAACTGTGCGCCTCTACTCTGCCATAGAGTTTCACCCGGAAAGATAGAGCGGTCCCGTCCCAGCCACCATCTTGTTCAAACTCTTAGTCCGTATCGGTCCCTATGGCTTCCATAGAAGCAGTTCTGCTGAATCCTGGAATAAGATTTACATGGCATTTCTCTTTTCCCTTAGCTGTCCTCTGCGGTCTCCAAACAGTTGTCTACGAGCACCCTGAGAAAATGGAGAAGGAAATGGTAACCCTCTCCGCTATTGTTGCCTGGAGAATTCCATGGACAGAGGAGCCTGGCAGGCTATATAGTCCATGGGGTCGCAAAGAATCGGACAGGACTGGGCGACTCTCAAACACGCACACACACACCCTCTTAGAAAATAATTCTCTATGAAGTGTGGTATATCGAATTCCATTGATGTTCCCTTTCATAAGAGGTGACCATGAAACCAGAAACTCACAATGAATTTCCCTGGCCCTCGTTCTAGGGAAGAAAGCTGCTGCTTTTCCTGAAAGTTTGTAGTCGTCTAACTCTAGTTTCTAGGTTTTCAGCACTACCTTCGTGGCTACCTTGTTTGTTTCCGTAGACTGGTGGACAATATTGTGGAGCAAGACAAGCAACTGAATAGCTGGGCTTGGAATCCAAAATCCTGAATCTGGTTCTTGTCTAAGAGGTGACACGGTAGATATGCACTACGAACACTAGCTTGAATTAATACATTTACGTAGCACATTGTACTATCACCCCCAAATTCTCCCACTCAATTTTCTGAAATTTCTGCCATTTCCTTTGGGAAAAAAATTTCCTGGGTGCATTGTTTAAAAGTCCAATTCCTGCTCTTCTCAAAGATGTCCATATGACCCAAGAATTCCACTCCTAGTTATATTACCCCCAAATTAAGAACAGGTACTCAAATCATTGCAGGAAAGTACTTAGCGCTATTCAGTAGTAGTGCAAGGGTGGAAACAAGGCAAATATCCATCAACAGATGAATGAATAAACAAACTGTGGTGTATACATGTAATAGAATATTAATCACACAAAAGAATGAAGTATAAATGCATGCTATAACCAGATGAACTTTGAAGATGTTACAAGTAAGAGAAGCCAAACAAAAGAGTCACATATGTTTCCACTGATGTGAGATACACAGAATAGGTAAATTCAAAGAAACAAAAAGCAGACTGATGGTCAGTAACTGCTTAATGGTCATGGGGTTTTAGAATGATGAAGTGCTTTGGAATTAGATAGAGGTGGTGGTTGTACAACCTGTGAAGTTGAATGCAGTGAACACCACTGAGCTGTTTATTTTAAAATGTGAATTCACCTCAGTTTTAAAACTCTTGTACACAGATGTTCATAATAGCCAAAAAGTAGAAACTACTCAAAGTTCATCAACTGATGAAGGAATAAATAAAATATGGTATATTCATAAAATGAAATATTATTCAAAAATAAAAAAGAATGAAGGATTTCTATGGTGATACAATGGATAAGAATCCACCTGCGAATGCATGGTACACAGGTTTGTTCCTGGTCCAGGAAGATTTCACATACTGAGGAGCAAATAAAGCCTGAGATTGCTGGGAGAAATATCAATAACCCCAGATATGCAGATGACACCACCCTTATGGCAGAAAGTGAAGAATGAAAGAGCCTCTTGATGAAGATGAAATAGGAGAGTGAAAAAGTTGGCTTAAAGCTCAACATTCAGAAAACTAAGATCATGGCATCGGTCCCATCACTTCATGGCAAATAGATGGGGAAACAGTGGCTGACTTTATTTTTCTGGGCTCCAAAATCACTGCAGATGGTGATTGCAGCCATGAAATTAAAAGACGCTTACTCCTTGGAAAGAAAGTTATGACCAACCTAGACAGCATATTAAAAAGCAGAGACATTACTTTGCCAACAAAGGTCCGTCTAGTCATGTATGGATGTGAGAGTAGGACTATAAAGAAAGCTGAGCGCCGAAGAATTGATGCTTTTGAACTGTGGTGTTGGAGAAGACGCTTGAGAGTCCCTTGGACTGCAAGGAGATCCAACCAGTCCATCCTAAAGGAGATCAGTCCTGGGTGTTCATTGGAAGGACTGATGTTGAAGCTGAAATTCCAATACTGTGGCCACCTGATGTGAAGAACTGACTCATTTGAAAAGACCCTGATGCTGGGAAAGATTGAGGGCAGGAGGAGAAGGGGATGACAGAGGATGAGATGGTTGGATGGCATCACTGACTCGATGGACATGGGTTTGAGTGAACTCCCGGAGTTGGTGATGGACAGGGAGACCTGCCGTGCTGTGGTTCATGGGGTCACAAAGAGTTGGACACGATTGAGCAACTGAACTGAACCTCAACTACTGAGCCTGCCTGCTGCAACTACTGAAGCCCACGTACCTAGAGCCTGTGCTCCACAAGAAGAAGCCACTGCAAAGAGAAGCTCACAGGCCGCAATGAAGAGTAGCCCCTGCTCACCACAACTAGAGAAAGCCTGTGTACAACAACAAAGACCCAGAGTAATAAAAAATAAAATAATTTTTTTAAAAAAAGAGGAAAAAAAAGGAATGATGTACTGGGTACACTCTACAACATGGCATAACTATGAAACATATGCTAAATAAAAGTCACAAAAGATCACATACAGTAATGTATTATTCCGTTTACATGAAATGTCCAGAATAGGCAAATCCATAGAGACAAAATTTGATAGATTGT